TTATTATTAATTTGTTACTAATAACTCAAAATTTTGGGGTTTAAACAGCTTGTTACTGGGCTTACTGCGGAGAAGGTAACTGCGTAAGGAACAGTACATACCATTACACCCCCATCTGTGAATGCAACTCCGGCGCCACTAATCTTCTCAATGTCACATTATTCCCCTGCTACAATCAATGTATGAACTCTAACTAATTACTTGTCTTAATTCTGGTTTAAAACATAATTAACAAACTTTCGAGAAGCTGGAGAAAGTGACAGGAACTCTAATTTTTTCGTAATCTTTCAGGCACGCTTCAGAGTGACTGTGCGAGCCTTGGAATCAAGGTTGCAAACTCAAATTCCTCCACTAGCCCTGGGAGCACCACTAACTCTGGGAGTGACAATAGTCAAGGTGAGACTGTAATTTGTTTGTTCTTTTTGGGTTATCAAATTTTAGACTTGAGATTAAGGCAAACTAATTAAAAGTTCGTTCAATAACCATGTTATTTTTAGATTAATTTCTAATTAACAATAAGGATCAAGACTTGGTCAAGGGGCTTGAGGTTTCAAAAGTCGACATCTCTTCGTAATTAACTATGAAAATAAAACCTAAAATCTATAACTCAGCCATGTTGAGCACTCAAATAACACAATATGTTGACCTTTTTTTTTCTCCTTTTTTCCCCTCGTTTTCCAGCTACGTCGTTTTTGCCCGGAAAGTTCCAGTTGATGGCTGTAGCGATGGTGTCTGTGGGTCTGATTCTGAGGAAGTAGGGTGCAAGAAACCGCCACGGCCGAGATTGTGCATTACATTTGTTCTTGTTTGATCACACTATAGTTTCACTCACTTCAGATTCATTTTTTTGTTGTAAAATTACTTTGATGTTTCCGCGGTTCATCAGTTTGTATACAGTCAGTTTGTGTAAATAGATCGACACACGGTCATAGCCCAATGACCCATATATTGCACTTGTATATTATGAACCATCAATATGTTGACATCTTCCTTTTGTTTTGGCTTAAACCTTTGGAAAACGCCTTCCTCGGTTTTTTTTTTTTTTTTTTGGTCCTGAAAAGTAAATTTCATTAATTTGAAATAAGGTTACAGGCTAACACGGAGGAAGGCAAAATAATCCAAATATATTAGAGAAAAACAGATAAATAAATGCTTAGCCTAATTAAATAAATAAAAACGAAAACCTAAATCCCTAATCTCTGACTGCAAAAAACAGCGTTCGCCGTTGTCACTATCACAAAAGTCTTGCTAGTAGCTACCTAAGCAACAACAGTAGAGAAACGACCGAGTGGTGAAATCGACCAAGACAACACTGCACAACCAAACCCGCAACCAAAAGCACACCACATCCAAATTTCTTCACCAAATACGCAGAACCAAGAGATAGTCATCGGATCCAAATCTCATTCACTAATCTATGCAAATATATAGAAACACAGTAACATATGGATATAAGATGAGGCTGAGGATATGTAAAATACCCTACTTTAGTCATAGCCACAAAACACTTGGCCTTGAGGGAATTCTGGCACGTCGGTTGGGGGAGGGAAAGTAAGGAAGAAAAATAAATCTGACAACCATATCCGGCCTGGAGTCCTCAAATCAAAACAAAGGATGGGGTGGGGATGGATTATGAGGAAGGGAGGCAGAGGGAAAAAGTGAGGGGAGATGGGAGTTTTGGGTTTAGAAAGTAGAGGCCAGAGGAGAGAGGGAAGGGAGGAGAGAAGGGTCATGAAGCCCAAAACTTGTTTAATTACGAGACGGCTTAATGAAGGGGACATGTTGACTTTGTTGGAGCCCTAAACTTCTTCCACGTGTCACTCTTCTAGAATTACAACTTCCCCCGTTGAATTTTGCACACCTTGTTGAATTTAGTACAAGTCTTTCTGTGCAAAAGGCAAGAAAGAAACTTTAATCAAGTTTAGTTATGTAATTTGTAAAATATGATTAGGATTAGGTCACCTTTAATCAAACTTATTGTTATGTACAACAATACATTTGCCCACTAAACTATGATACTAAACAGCAAATATAATATGATTTTGTGGTACAACTATTAACGGGTTTTAAATTTAATTGGCACTGAAATGAATCAACATTTCATAATTATTGAAAATTCATATAATTTGTCGGTTTTATGATAAAACTAAAGATCACTAAGTCTTAGTTTCGTCCAGTCTTTAATAACTTGATTAATTTTAGATAATTATGGATAGAAACAACGCTTGTAAGGAGTATGTTGAAACTAAGAAATATAAGCATGCCTTCTATCCACACAAGAATAAATGAAGTTATCTGAAAATACCTGCTAGTGGAGGAAGACCACCGAAGGAGAGCCAAAAAAAGGATATAATCTTGCATAATTTCGAATGTTATCAATTCTGTTACGTAGATCAAATGATACAATGCAAGCAAAAGTTCTTAGATTCATTCAATTTGATTGACACATGGTTAGATCAACATCTCATAATTACATATAATTATTGTGACTTATTGATTTTGTGATACAACTCAAAGTTAACAGATCTTGTATTCGATTGTCACATGTTTGGACCAGCCTCTCATACTTACCAAACTCTATGGTTTTTTTGTTGTCATCAAATAGTAGAATTTGGAAGGTCATTATCTCCATAAACTTGGAGATCAAAACCTGAATGATTCTTTGTTCTAGTTGTATCTAGTACGTGTTGACTTTGGCAAGCCCTAGGTGGGCCCAAAGAAAAAAAATCCCATTTTATTGAAGATAACTTTAACGTGAACAATTGGAAATTACAACCCCTCTTCACGTTTTTTTTTTTTTTTTAAAATTATGGAACCTTCTTCCAGTCGACATACCCAGCCGCCATCGGAAGCTTCTCTTCCACTTTGACACCTTCACAAATTTTCAGTCTTAATCTCATATTAATTATGCTCATAAGCGTGTTGATTTAGTACATAATTAATTCTTTTATTTTCTTTGTTTGGGTGCTAAGAAATCTTCAAACCCCTTCAAACTTTATATATATATATATCTATAGAGAGAGAGAGCCTAACATCATCAGAAACAACACCCCCTTCACATCTTCACATAAAGCTCCTCTCTCTCTCTCTCTCTCTCTCTGTGAAAAAACTGATACAAATGGCTTTCTCTAACTCCATGGCCTTTTTAGCTGTGCTTATAGCGCTGCCCATCGCTGCTTTCGCCTGGGACTTGCCGAATAACTCTACTATTGGCGGTAAGCAATTCATTTTCTCTCCGAAACATATTTTTTTCAAACTTTGTCTGTAACTCACATAGGCTCGACGAACAAAGAGAAGATGTTTACGAACGACAGATATAATCCTTTTTATTATTATTATTAGTATTATTATTATTTTTGTATCAGTTGGTTTCTTTCTTCTTACACATCTTCTTGTTGTTGCAGCTAAAATATGTGACCAAATTGAGTGTGGAAAGGGAACATGCAAAGCCGATTTAACCAAACCATTAGGTTACACATGCGAGTGCGACGCTAACTGGAAGCGAACGCGTGACGGTGACGATGATCTGCAGTTTCTCCCCTGTGTCATCCCCAACTGTAAGCTCTAATCCTCTCCCTCTCATATAAAATCTTCAGAAGCGAGATTCCGTTTTGCAGGATGTCACTTATGATCGATCAATTATAATTTTCACGTTTTTGCAGGCTCACTGAACACCAACTGCCAGCCAGCTCCACCTCCAGTTCCTCAGAATGATGTTCCTAACAATATATCCGCCTTTGATCGTAATTACCACTAAACCAGCTCGATCATCTCATCCGTTAATCCACAATTAAATTAATCACTCGGTTCTTTTTACTAATAACATGTATTTTCGGGTGTTAAACAGCTTGTTACTATGCTTACTGCGGAGAAGGTACATGCGTAAGGAACAGCACATACCATTACACACCCTTCTGTGAATGCAAATCCAGCGCCACTAATCTTCTCGACGTCAAGGCTTTTCCCTGCTACTATCAATGTAAGAACACTAAATAAACTTGTTTTAATCCTGGTTTAGAACATACTTAACAAACTTTCAAGAAGCTGGAGAAAGTACTGGGAGCTCTAATCTTTTCGTAATCTTTCAGGCGCGCTTCAGGCTGACTGCGCGAGCCTCGGAATTAAGGTTGCAGACTCAAATTCCTCCACTGACAATAGTGAAGGTGAGATTGTTTGTTCTTCGTTTTGGGTTATCGAATTTTAAACTTAATGTGAAGGCAAACTAATTAAAAGCTCGTACGATAACCACGTTGTTTTTAGATTAATTTTCTAATTAACTTGCTTGACAAGAAGGATTAAGACTTTGTCAAGGGGCTTGCGGTTTCAAAAGTTCATTTCTACGCAATTGACTTTGAAAATATAGCTTAATTTATTTCTACAACTCAGCCATGTTGAGCACACAAATGACGCAATATGTTGACTTTTTTTTTTGCTCCTCTCGTTTTCCAGCTACGTCGTTTTTGCCCGGAAAGTTCCAGTTGATGGCCGTGGTGATGCTGTCTGTGGGTCTGATTCTGAGGAAGTAGGGTGCAAGAAAACGCCACGGTCGAGATTCTGCATTACATTTGGTCTTGTTTGATCATACTTTACTTTCACTCACTTCAGATTCATTTTTTTGTTGTAACATTGCTTTGATGTATCCCCAGTTCATCAGTTTGTATAAAGTCTGTTTACGTAAATAAATCGACACACGGTCATAGCCTGATGACTCTCATATACGGCACTTGTATACAGATTTTTACGAGTACAGTAATTTTATGAACCATCTATCATTGACAGAGCAGATTTTCAACAAGTATTGTATGGCTTTCTAAGCTACACAGACACAGACACAGACACACACACACTAACATACACCGGGTAGATATAGATTTCTCGACGTCAACAAGCAAATCAACTTTCCGCTACAAAGGAAAAGATTTTACGAGTCGATAAAATCCACCCTCGTGAAACAATTAGAACTGATGCAATCAGTATAAGAAATGAAGACAAAGAAGTCATACACGAATAAAAAATTTCATTAGAACACTTCCAAAACAATCGAAAAGCTTTTACACGTTGATCAACCTGCCATCACCATACAATTTGAAGAACAGATGCCATCAACATAAAAGGAAGACGCCATCAACATAAAAGGAAGACGCCATCAACATAAAAGGAAGACAACCAAAAACATGATCAAGTTATAAATACGCCACTCAGGTTGCAACCGAAATCATATCGCAGGTTCTGTATGATTTAGGCTTCAAGTTAACTGGTAACACGTAGTAATCCAAGCATTGAGTACAGGTGTACCATCGAGCGTTTTACTCCATAACTTTTTAAGATGCCATTGCAAAGAGAGAGCCACATGCATCATACATCACACAAGAGAGCGATTAACTACTAACATAAGTGGTTCACCGATCGATACTCAGTTCATTTTCGAGTAACATTGATCACAAAAAGCTACCAAGTTTAAATATCAGTTCAAAAGAAATGTTGTTGAAATCTTACCTATTCTGGAAGACAAACTGAAACGCGGGAATCACTTGACCCTCGAAAGCCTCAAGAAAAGCTTGGGTTACAGTTGATGGAGGCAGTTCTCAGTATACTCTCCTAAAATTATACAGAAACAGGACTGCCAATAACTCAAAATATAATAGCAGAAGTGTGAGCTAAGAATCTAAGACAGTAACGAGGTCCATTCGGGTGACTGAAAATCGCAGAAGCACGAAGGTAATTCATTTCACATTATTTCACAATTCACAATTCCATCATTCTTTAGTATCATTAGTATACCACTGGTCGAAACCGCAATGCTCAACAAACAATAAGACTATCGAATGCAGAATTTTCGACAAATTTCCCATATCACCAATCTAAAATTACACCAAAGCAGCTAAATTTCACCAGTAAATACTGAACAACAAGCAGCAAGTACCAAAACCCCCAAAAAATATGGAAAAAAACAGAGTACTAATGGAGATTCCAATTACTCACCACCACCGGAGAACCCGAAAAAAGCCAATCACTTGGTCTTCACATCCACTCCATCCGTACCCGCAATGATCACCGCCGTCGCCATGTCTAAGAACAACCCATGTTCCACAACTCCTTCGAATTTCAAAATCTCCTTCCCTGCCGCCGGCCCGTCTTTAATCGGAGTCTGGAAGTACAAATCCACAATGTAATTGAAGTTATCAGTCACATACGGCTTCCCGTCGCCGTCGATCCTCAATTTCGCCTCCACCCCTTCTTCCTTAAACAGCTCCTGAAGCCTCACCAAGTTGTACTTCCAGCAGAACTGCACCACCTCCACGGGCATTGCCAGCCCGCTTCCGCCGAGCCCAGTCACTAGCTTCGTCTCATCCGCCACCACCACAAACTTCTCCGACGCCGCCTCCACCATCTTCTCCCTCAGCAAAGCTCCGCCGCGCCCTTTGACCAAATCAAGATTTGGGTCGACCTCATCGGCGCCATCGATCGCCAAATCGATCTTCGGGTGGTCGTCGAGCACCGAAAGGGGAATACCCAACTGGCGAGCTTGGTCCTCCGTGCGCTTGGAAGTCGGGACTCCGACGATGTCCTTCAATTCGCCGGATTTGAGAAGCTCCCCGAGCTTGGAGACCACGAAGGCGGCAGTGGAGCCAGTTCCGAGGCCAAGGACCATACCGGATTTGACGTACTCAACGGCCTTGTCGGCGGCTAGCTTCTTGAGGTCGTCTTGAGTGAGGGCAGGGACTGTGCGGGCTTTGACGGACATGGGCCTGTAGGAAGAAGGTGAGCGCATGTTAGGGGATTTGGGGGTGCGCAGGAAAAGGTGGGTGGCGGTGGAGGCTTTGTGGGGGGAGAGGAGGGATATGGCGGAGGAAGCCATTGAAGAAGTGGAGAGTGGAGGAGGAGGAAGATAGAAGAAGGAGAATTGGAGAGGAAATAAGAGGTGGATTTTGCTTCCTCTGTTTTTTGTTTGTTCTTGTGAGCTCTGTTTTTTTGTATTTTCAAAGGTTTATGCTTTGGATATACAAAATGTGACGTTTTTGGGGTGGGTGGTTGGTGGCTTGCTATTTGGTTTGGTTGAGATAAGAGGTTGCGGGTGAGGAGTAAGAGGTCTTAGATTCGATTTTTGCTAAATGTGAATTTGAATCACATTATTGCTAATCCATTATGAGGTTAAGCTCACATTCTTTCCTTTAGTGTATATAATGTCGTTTGTTTCAAAAATAAAATAAAATGGAGGATTACACATCTTTTACCTTTCATTAGAGTTTCAATATAATTTAAGTTCGTACTTATAGTCTAAAATAATATTTACTGTTATTGTACTTTTTCTTAAAAAAAGAAAATAATATTTTCTCTCTAAGTTTGAATATTCAAGTAACTGATTCTCTTTTGATTTATACGATTTGAATGACATAAATAAACAAGAGTATGTAAAAAAATGCGTGTGAAAATCACTTCCCCTGAGTATAAGTCCATGGGGTTAAGTTTTACACTTTTGAAATTTAGATGATTTGAAAGCGTGTGAAAATCACTTCCCGTGAATGTAAGTCCATGGGGTTAAGTTTTACACTTTTGAAATTTAGGTGATTTGAAAATAAGGTAAATTGTTAATCATACATTTTCTTAACAAATAATTGTGTCATTAGAATAGAAAGAAATATCACGAGTGACCCTCAACTACAGTGGTAGAGAAGAGTATTCGCTTTGCATTACGACGTAAGTTCGAATCTGGTCGGCTCTCTAATATAATATATTTATCATTTGACAACAAAGTAAGAATAAAAAGAATTATCTCTTTTACAAGATGAAGAATCGAGGGCAGATATGTTGAAATTTAATTCATTGGAACAAAAATTAGATTCAATGGATTTGCGGGTGGTAAATTTCAATTTGTGTATATTATATTTATCTTGTTGGCGTGATTGTTTTGTAACCATCCGTGATTCAAATCTATGAAAATTGAGTGCTGACCAGCTGCTCCCACAACTAGATCAGTACTCACCAACTAGATAGCAAGAACACAAGGACCTTTATTTATTTATTTTTGTTGAATAAAGTAATTGTTAATTTGAGGTCGCACTTGGTGCGATGGCAAGTGTCTTCGCCCATGAGCGGTAGGTCTCGGGTTCGAGACTTGGGAGCAGCCTCTCCATAAATGGGGGTAAGGTTAGCCGACATTCACCTCTCCCAGACCCTGCATAAAGCGGGAGCCTTGTGCACTGGGTACGACCTTTAAAGTAATTGTTAATTTGCATCAAATTTGTGTAACCAAAGTCAACTACAATATTTGTATTGCTAAAAACATGTTTCATCTCAACATAAACCGTTTTGGAAGAGAAAGAAAATCTAACCTGAAAAATTCTTTAGTTCGAACGTTTTTGTATGATAACCTAACACAAGAAAGTAGGATCGGTACTAGACTAAGAAGGTGGGATTGGAAGAAGGGGGTTGGAAGGGATCAAAATAAAGAGTAGTCATATATATTGACAGACGAACAGTCATGTGGTACGGTCGTTTGAGTTTACAAATTTTTCCACTCTAAGACACATCTACTTGCCACTTAATAATATGATCGAGTGATATTTTTTTCAACTTGTAAATAAAGATATTCAATTTCAACGGTTATAGATGAAGAGTTCAATACTAATATATAAAAAAAGCATGATTTAACTCTAAATCTACTTATTAAAAAATAAAATATTTTATTTTATAGAAAAGAGAAAAGTAAACTTATAGTAAGAAAAAAAACTAACAAAATAAATTTATGTGACATTCCTTGTTTAATAATACACTTGTGTTGTAAACATTGATGGATTAATGAATGCCCACGTAGTAATGTGGACTTGGAAAAATAATGATGATTGTATTTGTGTGATACTTTCAAAAAGTGTGTGCTGTGCTTTTCAAGATGTAATTATTATGTTCATTTGAGGTTACTCTATAAATAGAATTAAAGATCAATAACATCAGTATCTCTCCCTCCTTCATTTATCTCTCATCCTCTTGTGGTATAGGCAAACACGATTTTTAACACCTGCTTCGTTCTTGTCACTAATAAAAATTATCTCTTTTAACTTTTGCTTATTTATAAAAACTTGTTATATATGTAAGTTTTTATTCCCAAGGGGTAAACCTACATCTCTTCGGCTTCGGATTCTTCAACTGACCCAATATATATAGCTTTCGTACCCCAATCTCCCATCTCTCTCTCTGTCTCTCTCTGTCTCTCTCGTTCCCGTCGTCCAAATTTCAACTCAAACTGTCAATCTCGTCAACCATGTCTGCAGAATCGGCTAGTGCAATCCAAAGAAGCCAAGTAAGTAAAACACCCTCTTCCCAATTTCGTCGCTAAAAGTAAAAACAACATCCGAAAATTGGTGGGAAAAAGTTTGAATCTGGCATCTGGGTTTCTCCTAAAGATCAAAACCCAGTTTTTGAATTACCCAATTTCTTTCCCGGCCCAGAGAATTCCAAATTCTGATCCTGCAGTACGACACTGCTTTAAGGCTGCTAATTTTGTTTTTGGGGCAGGTTGATCTATTGGACTTCATAGATTGGTCAGGTGTTGAATGCCTCAACCAAAGCACTTCTCACTCTGTTGCCAACGCTCTCAAGCAGGTAAATTTTATAATTGTTCACTCTGTTTCACTTGTTTTAATCTTTTTTACCTGGAGAATTATTTGTTTTGTTATTGTTTCTTGGATGTAATTTGATGGGGTTTTGTTAAAATATTGTTAAGATTTACGATTGATGTTGTGTAATTTCAGTTTTTGTGTTTTAATGATATAGTTCGATTAGTACTTGAACATGTGTTGGATTGGATGTAACGGGGAGTTTTACTTACTTACTCTTGCTGATTAACGATTAGGGTTATAGAGAAGATGATGGTTTGAATCTGGAGAGCGATGCGGATGAGCAGCTTTTGATTTATATACCTTTTCTTCAAGTCGTAAAACTACACTCTATCATCGTCAAGGGGCCTGAAGACGAAGGTAGCATTCAATGTTTCTTAATACAGTTCAGCTGCATGTGACCGTGCTTGCTAAATTAATCTTGTTAGTGCTATGCTTGAATACACTGATATGCTTTGATCTGAATGCATAGGCGACTGTTCTTGAAGGTGTTATTTGTTTTCGGTATTGATGTTACGTTTCTTTGATTTTCTTGGCACTTGCTTCTATCTTTCGTTATAAAATCTTATGACAGTGGAGCCGTCCCAACATATTTCATTTAGGGTTCACAGTAACAATGTATTTGATCTCTTATCATATTCACTGTTTTACGGTTTATAAGGACAATGAAAGTTTTGATTATACATAAATATATGTTTTTGTAACCATGGAGATTAAGAAGCTACCGATCTCAACCAAATTGCAAAAGGATCATGTTTTTTCTCATTTGGTGATTGTAATCCAAAAATTGGTGTAATGTCATTGTATTTAAAAAAAAAAAATAAGCCTAAGCAGCAACTACTAATTGAGTGAACACGAAAGTTGATAATGGAGCATTTTTGGCCTGCATACCGTAACTGTTATCGCACAAAGTTTTCTTCTTTGCTGGAAAACCATTGAACAAATGAATGTTTTCTCAATGTTGGCATTGTTCAAGGTTATATTACAGGAATGGGAATATGAACTTCCCCTGAGAAAGATGGTTTTCCAGCCTTCTTGGCTTTTATACCACTTTGCTTCGTCTATGTTTTTTCATTTTTCTTTTCTCCTTACTTGGCCTCTTAGTTAACCAAATTGTAGTTTTCATTATATGTTTTATCCTGAAATTTTTTCTTCGGAACGATATATGAAATGATGTTTGATACTGTTCTAACCTTAAGAATGATATTTAGGTCCCAAGACCGTGAAACTTTTTTCAAACAAGGAGCACATGGGATTCAGGTATTATTCTGCAACAATTACCTTCATCGATCGTGGATGAATGCATTCAGTTTAATTGATAAATGCATTTCTTATTGATTATGGCAGCAACGTCAATGACTACCCAGCAAGTGACACCATTGATTTATCCCCTGATAATTTAAAGGTTAGGATTCTGTAACTACGACATCTACTATGTGATTCTTTTGCTTGGCGAAGCCAATTCAGCGATGCATATTTGGAAGAGTTCTGTGTTATATTTGATGTTATTTTTATACGTTACAGGGAAAACCAGTTGTTTTGAAGTATGTCAAGTTTCAAAATGTTCGCAGGTATCTTACTCAAACCTATTTTCTGTTCATATACTAGTTTATTTGCTCTTAGTCGATCTGATTCAATTGAAAGTCATTATATTTGTTTCAGCTTGACTGTTTTTATCGAGGACAATCAATCCGGCTCAGAAAGCACAAAAGTTCAAAAGATTGTTCTTTGTGGAACAACGTAAGTTTCTATTATTCCTCAATCACATTACACGGTCTACGTTCTGTTGATTTGTACATCTGACATGTGACCGATCTTCCATTTTGATAACAGTATCGACGTATATTACATGCTGTACCTATCTGATGACTTTTTCATCGTGTTATGTAGGGTGGAAACGACAGACATGAAGGGCTTGAAGAAATTGAGGACGGACACTGAAGGAAGGAGAGAAAAGTAGAAGAAGAAGTAGAAGAATGAACAAATTGGATCATCCAAATTTAAAAACCATAGTGATCATCTAGCAACCCTATTTGGTTTATGTTGCATATTATATTTCAGGATTATTATCTACTTTCTGTTGGGATTCTTCACCGAACTTGTTCCACTATTCCAAGGTCAGCGCATACGACAAGTCTTTTTAGGGACTTACTCTCTCTTCGGTTTTTCACATTGATGTGTCACGTGAGATATTTTATCTCTCTTGGCTTTGCTGCGCAATTTGACTAGAAACTTTGCACTTCTCTCTCATAGTATATTTATGAAAGAAAAAAAATTATAAAAAGATGGTAAAATTAAAAAAAAGAAATGCACCAGCCGGGAATCGAACCCGGGTCTGTACCGTGGCAGGGTACTATTCTACCACTAGACCACTGGTGCTAATGTGTT